TTTTTTACTGGCTTACTAAAGGTTTCTTTTCGTTGCATTTGCCTTCCCTCCTGTTTCATCTGCTCAACACTTCTTCTGTTGCAGTTGTTACGGTTACGTCAGCGTTGTATTGAAACTAAAACAGAAAAAAAAAAAAAAAGAAAGATAAAAAACCAAGAAAAAAAATTAATTTTTTTTTTACCTTTTTTTTTTCTCCTCTCTTCCTTCTTCTTCTTTCTTCTACTATATGGAGCCAACCGGTAGACGATTACAAGACTGGACTAACAGACATCTGTTTGCAACATCTGTTGATTCATTGACACCCTATCAACAACAACAGTATTTTCCAGGTTATTCTTTTCTCAAAAAATAAAAAAACTTCTTTTTCTTTTCTATTTTACTTATTAATTGTCTGAACCGACAGTGTTCCATTATAATAATATTTAATTCTGATAATGCTGTCATTAGTTACTTCAATTATTGTTCTGTAAAACTCAATAAATTTTTGTACTGATCAATGACAATGATAGTTGGCTACAATATAAAAGTGAAGATAAAAATTGGGAAAAAAAAGGCAAACAAGCATAGATGCTTCTCAATTTCTTTGTTTTTCTTGCCTCTTTAATTTTATGTAAACATTTTTCTGAGCAATTTGTTGACTTTTTTATGTTTGGAAAAGACACAACACTTTTTTGTTGTTCACTTTAACAACAAAAAAGGTAGGAAGCAAACCGAAAATGACTGTGCAAAATACGGCTTAATTAGCAACTATGAATTTTTTGTAGACCAAAATAAATCAGATGTTTAACAACAAAACAAATTGCTTTCAGAGATGTATAAAAAATTTTCATTTTTCGTATACCAGCTGATTGGATATCTGTTCAAATTCAGTTTAGAAAATAGGAAGGAAAGAAGCCTTTATCTGTTTTTGGCTGTTGCAGAGTATGAAGAAGGATCAAACTTGGAGAAAACTGAAGAAACTAAAGAACCAATAACAGCACTACAGGCTGCTTGGAATGTTACAAATGCCATCCAAGGAATGTTCATTGTCGGCCTTCCTGTCGCCGTCAAAGTATCATATTTCTAAACCTTACTACTTCTGTTCATCCTTAACCTGTAGTAATGTTTATTCTTAAGCTTACGAAGAAGAAGAGATTGCTGCTGATATTTGAATCCGTTTTTTTTTTTTTTTTTTTTTTTTTTTTTTT